TTCTCCCCACCCCCGAGCTCCCCCCACACACGTGCCTTCCCTCTGACAATAAAAAAAATGAGCATCTAAAATCATCGTTTCAGTCCCAGGGGCTCTCTTCTCGGTGGGGACCTGGCGCTGCTGTCAGAAGTGCTGTCAGAACAAAAGGCACTTTCGTCGTTGTCAAATCCACCGCTGCTATAATTGTTCGCAGACGACCCAGCCACTAAAAATTGCTCGCTATAGAAACTCATGGCTAAAAATACTAATTTTTCTTTACTTCCCTCACTCCTGAATGTGCCAAAATTCAATTCAAAATTCTCGAGCATCGCAGAACCCGAGGAGGCCCACCGAGTGAATACGTCTTGTCCAATTCACCAGCACCCTCAGGGTCGAGGAAGTTACACGGGGTCCTGAGCATCCACTGGACACGACGGGCTCCCGTGTGTTCCTGCCGCGGTCGATGCCTGGGAAGCGCCTTTCTAAACAGAATGCCCTCCACGTGGTGGCTCAGAATCTGAGAGATGCCAGCGTGTTTCGTGGCTCTCTCCTCTGGTTACTTCATAGGTTTCCAATTTTTTTTTTTTTAACTTAAAACAACAACAACAAAAGCATCATCCCATGTTCCAAGAGGTCGCCAGTTCAATTCCCAGTCAGGACACACGCCCGGGTGTCAGGCTCCATCCCAGTAAGGGGGGTGCGTGGGGCAGCCGATCGATGTTTCTCTCTCCTCGATGTTTCTCTCTCTCCTTTTCCCTTCCTCTCTCTCTAAATTCAATTTTAAAATATTCAAAATCATTTTTAAAAATAATTTTCTTTCCTAGCACCCCTGTGTACATCTCCCAGAGCAGGGTTGAGAGCATGGGTTTGGTGCCAAGCAGGGCTGAACTGAATCTGAACTGTGCCACTTACTGGCTTGGTAACTTTGGGCAAGTTATTCACCTACTTTAAGCCTCAGATTAGCTCATCTGTAAAGGAGGGATAATAGTAATTCTCACTTACCACTTTCTACATTGCATCCTAATTCTAGTTTGCTGCAAATCATCTCTCCCGGGTTATAAAACCCTTGATGAGAAGGACTACGTCTCATTCACGATTATATCCCTAATACTTAATTCATGGTGCAGTGCAGATGCTCAATAAGTGCTTGTGGGCTGAATGGACAGGGTGAACGAGTGCACAGAGAAATGACCGACCGGGTGGCCAGCTCCTCTGCTCTCATCGGTCAGAGGTCTGGAACCACACTTGTGGCTGGGTGGCAAGAGTTTCCACGCGGGGAGAAAGTAATGAGAAGCTGAAAGGACCTGACCATCACAGGCTGCATCGTTGGTGGGGAACCTGCTCGTGCTCTGGCTGGTCATAAACATCGTTGCGGCTTCCAGCCAGGAGGGGAGGGCTTTCCCTCCAGCTCCCAGTCTATTCCCAAACTTTCTCTTCAACCGCCGGTTACAGCCGCACCCTCTACTCTAAAGATTTCATTTTAAAAAGATGAGAGAGTGGCCCTCGTACTTTAGACACAATGCCTTAAACTCGAGATTGGCGACGGTGAAAGGTTACCGAGGAAAGGTAATTACCTTCATTTTCGCCTGCTTACCGTTTGCCCTTTGGCCTGCCATTGAGACAAGCAGACTAATTAGCTTTCCCGATGTCTTTGAGTCCGTGCCCCGTTTTCTTCGGAGGAGAGAAGATCAGCCCTTTATCTAGACTCTCTTGGTCACCTCGGAATCGGCACACTTGCACTGGGGGAGCAGTGGAGCTCTGGTGAAGCCAGGTCCAGGTCAGCCCGCCCGGCATTTCAGCCAGGACGGCAGAAGCGCCAATCGCACCCGGCGCCGAGGGGTCAGGGGCCTTTGGTGCAGCCCTAGTCGCTTTATGTCGCTTGTCTTTTATCCCTCACTAAACAGTGATCCCCCAGGGAACTGAGCTGAATTAAAATCAGATTGGCTCTCTCAAGGGGGTCCAAGGCCCTCTGCTAAGAGGAGGTGCGAGGCCCTCTCTCCGCGCCATCCCGCGTGTTTACCGTGCGTGTTCCTGGTCTGTGCCCGGGAGGGCAGGTGTGTGCGGCTGTGTGGGCAGGGTTGTAAAGGGGACACTCGGGCCTCAGGAACACAACTGCTCACCAACTGGCACAGTGGAGTTTCAATGTTTTAAGAAACAATCACTGGCCCAGCCAGCGTGGGTCAGCAGTTGAGCATCGACCTAGGATCCAGATCACAGTTCAATTCCCGGTCAGGGCACATGCCCAGGTTGCGGGCTCCATCCCCAGGAGGGGACGTGCAGGAGGCAGCCGATCGATGACCCTCTCTCATCACTGATGTTTCTATCTCTCTCTCTCTCCCTCTCCCTTCCTCTCTCTGAAATCAATTTAAAAAAAAAAAAATTAGAAAAAGAAATAAACGTTCACTGTACAAGGGACCCCCGAAGCAGAGGCACCTGGAGAGCGGCCCGTTTTTCAAGTCGCTCGCTGCAGGTGTAGATGTCAGCGGGCCTGCCGCCTCAGGCACAGAGCTGCAGCCTTTGAACCTGAGCTGCAAACGTGTGAATTGGAGCCAACACCAGGCACATGCCTGGAGGGCAGGCGGCACCTGTCTCTGCCATCCTCCCCCTAAAGCACCTCCTGGAAAATTCACTCCAACGCTGGCTCCTCCTGAGCCGTCCCTCCTCCACTCAGTTCCCATCAGGTGGCTGAGGCGTCCAGCCAGCACCCAGTCCAGGGCAGACGGCCTCGCCCAGGTGGACCGCAGCACAGGAGTCCAGTGCGGACTCGGGTCTGGAACACCCATGAGCAGCCACCGCCAGCATCTCCCAAGAGATGACCAGCCAGCTCCAAAGCAGCCCCATTCCAGAACCCAGTCTTTTCCTGCTTCAACGCAGGGACAAAGTCCTTAGTTACCTAGAGTCTGAACCGTGACACTCCCAGAATCCCAGCTTCCCAACTGGTGTGGGCGAAGGGAGAACTGGGCCTGGACCACAAAGGTTTTCCAGCCATTGAGGAGTAGAGGCCGGTAGTTACAAAATAGTCACGGGGACGTAAGTACAGCACAGGGGATACCGTCAGTAATGCTGAAATAACTGTAAGGTGCCAGGTGGGCTCCGGAAATATCGGGGGAACGCTTGGTAAAGTACGTGATTGTCTAACCTCTATGCTGTACACCTGAGACTAATACAAAATACTATTGAATGTAAACATTTTAAAGACACATCAATCATCAAGCAGGGGATTATCAGGGCAGGCCCAGGGCTGGGGCCTTAATAACGATGCCCTGTAACCCTCACAGCACCCTTAGGAGGTAGGTCGCTATAATTCCCATGTTACACATGATAAAAATAGGGTTTTCTTTCCCGTTCAGGAATTCTGTGGAGACTGGGACGAACAGCCACCGAGCAGCAGAACTGGGGTTCACACCCACCCCCCAGGCTCCATTAGGGCCGTAGGAGAAGCAGACCGAGGAGGAACGTGGTGGGGCCAGGGCACGTTGGGGCACAAAAGCTCTGGGAAGCAGTGCTGGGGGCAAAGGCTCTCCATCCCCACCCCT